AACGTGTTGTCCTAGCGATTATTGAAAAACTTGTATTGATACTAACTGTGAAACATACTTACAAACAGACAAAAGCATGCAAGAAAAATTGATTATTTTGTGCATTTCCACACACCATTCAAAAACTGGTCGGTGAAGTTGTAGTTTTTGTGTGCTAATTCTACAGCTAACTATGTTATCTACAAAATGACACCAAATTTGTTACCCTATGTCAGTTATTTTAAGTACAAATATTGCTTAAACATGACCATTGACAAACCTCCCCGATTTAGGTGGCGGACCGAATCCAACATTTCTGGTATAGAGATGAATGTATTGAGAGTGTGAGTGAGACAACATATACCGAAAGGTCTCGTTATCGGTAACAACCGGTTATTTGCTGTCAATGTCATAGTGAGTGTTTTGTAGTCCCTCGCCACGCGTTGTGATCATATGTCCGTTTTGTTACCATTGCTGACTAGTTTCAATATCAATTTTCTGAACGTATTTGAGTTGGAAGTGATTTGTGAGTGAACATTTTATTAGTCATGCCTAAGTCTCTATCATGCCAAATCGTCCACGTAATAAATTTTCAAATCACCATGCTGCTGATATGGTGTTTGTTTACGGCTTTTGCAATGGAAATGCCGCAGTTGCTGTGAGAGAATATCGAAGACGATTTCCTGAGACTGGCGGAAAATGGGATTCAAAGGCCAGTAAACATCCGTGATCGGCTACTGTCTCCAAGAAGAGATTCTCAACATGATACCCGAGATCCTAGAGTTAGTGTGAGGAGGATCGCTGCAAGACTACACTTGTCACATCGGTCGGCTTGGAGAGTCCTTAAGAGAGGAGATTTACATCCCTATCATTTTGGAAGAGTTCAGGATCTTCATGAGCCAGATTATGCAACAAGAATCATAGTTTGCACCTGGTTTCAACGGCAGCTCCATCAAGACTGGGAAAAAATTCTGGGGAAGGACGAAGCAAAATTTACGAGGCGGAGGATCATAAACCACAGAAACGGCAAACGCTCATACAGTTCGACCGAGCACCTTCCAACAGGAAACGGAGTCTCAGACGGCCCAGTTGAGCTATCTCCAAGGTTAGATGCCTAGGGATTTTTGGAGTTCTTGAGGACCGATTTTCCAGATCCTCTCCATGATCTGTCACTTATGAACCGCCGCAACATGAGGTTGCAGCTTGACGGAGCTCCCGCACACTTTGCGCGAATTGTACGAGAACATTTGGATGAGCAACATTTCCCATAGACAGGTCGTGGACGCACTGTCGCTTGGCCACCCGATCACCTGATTTAATGCCCCTATATTATTTTTTCTGGGACACAATGAAGCAAAAAGTTTACTGTCATGTGTCGGCGACATGGATAGAGCTCGTGGAAACGATCCATACCGCTGCGAACAGAATTAGAGCTGACATGGATATAATCCGCCGCTCAACACGACACATGGTTTTAAGAGCAACAAAAATTGCATCACCAATAATGGAGGACATTTTGAACAGCTTCTGTAACATTGAACATGTCCAAACTCTTCATGAGACACATTGATTTATCATTTTTTTGTATAAATAGTTTGAAAGCAATTTGCATTTTATTACATCCATTTTGACCAATGTTAAATAGCATCTATTACTTAACGTAGAAGACTTAGGATAACAAATTTGGTGTCATTCTGTAGATAACATAGTTAGATGTAGAATTAGCACAAAAAAGTACAACTTCACGAACTAGTTTTTGAATTTTTTTACTGTTTTTCATTCTGTGACACTTGTCTACTCAGTTATTACAATTTTCTTACATGCACTAGTGTAATCGTAACGTAGAAATAAAAATGGCTGCCATTTCAAGAGGGGTGAGGTAGGAAATTGTAGGGGGTGGATCTGTCGATAAAAATAGTTGAAAAATACCTCGCTTAAATATCGGTATATCGTGGCCAAACACATTGTGTATATATATATATATATATATATATATGTATATACTTTGAAGTTGAGTCGTTAATTTTCAGATAATTATTGTAGAAGGAAGATAAACCAAAATATGTGTGTAAAAATAAAAAAAAATAAAAAATGTTACCTTGTTTTATAAAGTATCCTCCCGACAAGTATTTCAGTGCGGACCTGTATTTGATCCTGCGGTATTGGAGCACCGGCATGCCCTCCCCTGTGAGGTCTTAAGTCACCTGATTCACGAGCCCTTTGTACTACATTAACAAAGGCACGAGGGGTTGGTTGCACTCGATTGGGAAACCGATTCGCACAAATCCGTGATGCCGCGGCAGCATTTTGTAAAGACTCCCGCCCCGTAAATAAGAATCATGTCCATAAATTCAGCATTTTCGTAAACATGGGCCATTTTTTATTTCGTTTGTGCCACGCAACAAACACCACTATTCACTCATGCGTTACCGACTGACGAAAAACATCCTGATAAACGTTTCAAATTCTTTCGCTTTTTTGTTTCCGATGCGATGAACCGATAAGGCGGATTATATCCGTTGTTGCCAAACACGACCACATAATATTATTATTGAGACAGGGCGGTACTCAAACTTCCAAAGGGCTATAACTTTGTTACTTTAATTTTACCAGAAAAATGTTATAGGAAAAAAACATTTCTTTTGATCAGATCTACTCACTGTTAAAATAAATGACTCAACTCCGAATATGTATATATATGTGTATAGGGTATTCCAAATTCGACCCTCACCATTGGCATCTCGGAAACTGTAAGAGATACGAAGTTGCTTAAATGGGGTCAAAATTGCGTATTTAGGTAATCAAAAACATACCGCTTAGAAAGTTTCGAAATTCAAAGTATCTCCGGAGATGGACGGAAAACACCGGATGTTCCCAAAATCGTTTCAATTTTTTCATGACTTTAATTGTAGTGGGATTTCAAAATAAATTGCACATTAACATTTCCATTTTTTCCCTCTACAAGATGACAGAATTAGTCTTGTCCTACAGCATCAACTTTATTTTTTCTCATGGACGCCATATTGGATTTTTTCAAACACCCATGGTACCGTTGGGCTATAGGGGGATACAGGGGAAAGGGGGAACGCCACACGGACTCTGGCGAGGGAACACGTGTGCATGCAGCATGCACACATTGTGGCCCCGACTACGAGATCCGTCGGGTGGTACCTTTGCGTTCGACAGTCAGAGACCGTCTACCACCGACGGACAATCACAACATCCATAGCCAAGAGAAAAATTCTCTTGGGACGGGATTCGAACCCGCACGGCGACTGATCAGGAGACCGAAGTCTCCTACTGCGGCCACCGCTGCTGCATATTGAATAGAGTGTTTAATTCTGATTTAAAAAGTGTAGAAATATGCCATACATTGACATTGTCAAACCATAGTTACTCCAGGAAAACAGAACTTCCTAGGTAGGCCTTGGAATTAACAGATTTAATTTGATTCATATACCAGACCAGACCTCAAATTGAATATAGCAACAGAGTTTGAAAAGAGAAATTAATCGAGCAGTGAACAATGTACAGCGGAGAGTCAGGCTTTGCCTACAAAATGACGGGCATTTTTAAAATCTGCTATGGTTTATCTTATTTAGGATTATTATTGTTATTGCCATCAATAAATGTTTCATGTTGTGTTCAGGTTTCATCATTCCTTTTTATTTCGTTATAATTTTCATCCAAGAACAAATTCATGGCCAACTAGGGAAATGCAGCTGTGAATTTAGGACTGAAAAGTTAATTTAAATATACAAAATTCCAATATAGCGTCGATATGAAAAAACAAAGTTGGTGTTGGAAGTCTAAAAAAATGTCGAATTGAAAATTTGACTACGCCATCTTGTGGAGAAGAATAAGTAACAAGACAACATGCAATTTATTTTGAAATCCCATCTCAAATAAAGTCAGGAAAAAATAAACGTGATTTTGGGTCAAATCTGGTATGTGAAACAAGTGAGAATCTAATAATTTCAAGTTCTACGTAGTAAATTTTTTGAAATAACTAAGATCTGACAATGCCAATGTATGACGTATTATACATTTTTGTAATCAGAATTAAAATCTCTACTCATATGTGCAAACATCTAATATGGCGTCCATATGAAAAAATCAAGTTGATGCTGAAAAAGAGGCAAAACGTCATACTGAAATTCTAATTGTGGCATCTTGTAAACGAGAAAAAGTGCCAATGTTAATGTGCAAATTATTTTGAAATCCCACTACAAATAGTCAGGAAAAAATTAAAACTATTCTGGGAAAATAAAGTTTTTCCGTCTCTCCCAGGAAGTCCTCCGAAACTTTCTAAGCGGCATTTTGTTGATTACCTAAATACGCAACTTTGCGCCCATTTAGGCGACTTCGTTTTCCTTTTAGTTTCCGAGATACCAATGGTGAGGGTCTTTGAAACACTCTATATATATTTAATTTTGCATGTACCTTTTTCTACAAGATGCCTGTGTAACAAACAGTTTTTAGAAAGCATAGAATCTGGAGAAATATTTGTGAAACATAGTAGTACAACAATTTCTGTCTGTGAAAGTAAATTTAAAATCATTATTAGAGCTTAAAAATACTCAGATATCTCCCAAAACCAGCCGACAAGCAATCGTCTAATGTCGTACTCAGTGCGACATATATGTACATAAAAATATCTATTGTAAAGAAAAATTAAATATATTTTATATTTTGGAGTAAAAAAATCGGGATAAAATGATGAAGTTACCCAAATTATGGCCTGGAGTGTTTACTTCCGGTTTCTAATATAAAAATAAACTATAATTGTGAGTGGGGCAACGACGCGTTGGAAACTTCAAGACGTATTAAAAAATTCGGCTATAATTTTTCCGCTTACGGGTGTTATAATGAATATTAAATACATTTCATGTATTACGACTAGAGTTTTATGTCAACTCATTATTCGAGACAAAAAAACAGTAGAGAAAACCAGTAACCTTATAAGAAATTCAATAGAAGAAACAACGCATATCAGCTGAAATACAACAAATAAACCTAATATGAACACTATTACAGACTCGGATGATTACACCACTGATGAAGGGAAAAGAAAAAGGGGTGATACGGAAGAAATTTTTAAGAAAAGTAAAAAATTGAGTAAATCCCCAATCAAAGTGGTGCAATCGAAGGAAGATATTATGACACAAATGATGGGGCTTCTAACAACTACGGATGTTAAGAAAATTAAACAAAACCAGGCAGAATGTGGAAAAGATGTGAATGCATTGTATGAGGAAATAAAACAACTGAGAAAAGAACAAAATGAATACAAAAAAGAGGTAAACATTCTTAGAGAGGAAAACGAACAGGTAAAGAAAGAAGTGGAACAGTTAAGACAGAAAATCACCATATCTAAGGGTATAATAGAGAAAACGGAAAGTGAAAAAAAGAAGAAAAAACATTGTTATACAAGGATATCGCTTACATATGGCAAAACAGCAAATTTGCGAGAAAAGATGGTGAGCTTTATTGGAGAAAAATTAAAAGTAGCAGTAACAGTCAGTGGAACCAGAAAGTTATCAGAAAAGGTGTAGTAGAACTTAATAGCATGGACGATAAAGTGAAAATAATGCAAAATAAGCACAGACTTAAAGAATTAAAGGAAAGAACATATATCAATGATGATTTAACTAAAACTGAACAAGACATACAAAAGAAAATAAGAGACAAAGCAAACGAGGAAATTAAGAAAGGTAAGCACACTAAAATGGGCTATCAAAAACTAATAGTGGATAATGAAGTGTGGAAATGGAATGCAGAAACAAGCAAATTAGAGAAAATGGAAAACAAATTCCCAAAAAATTAAGCAAAAACTGGAAAATGAAGACGAAACGCTATGGCAACGGAAACGAATAAAGAATATATAAACATAAAAAATGAAGATTGCAGGATGGCATACATGACATTTACAACCTGGAATATAAGAAGCATAAATGGCAAAGAACCTGAGCTAGTTAGTGAATTTGAAATAATCAAAACAGAAATTCTGGTAATAACAGAAACAAAGAAAAAGGAAAATGGGATTGAAAATCTAGGCAACGGGCACATCTTAATATACAGTGGCGTAGATACAAAGGAAAGAGCTGCTGCAGGAGTGGGATATATTATACACAGAAATAAGAGTAATTTCATACATAGATGGGAGGCAATATCAGAAAGAATACTACTAATTGAAGTAAGAGAAGGTGTAAATCTAGAGACTATCAGTGGGATTTACGGGCCTGATATGAAAATGAGAAGAAAGAAGGAAAAGATTCATTTTGGGAACTCGTATCATAGGCAGTAGAGTCAGCGAAAGGGAATTTATTCATAATGGGCGATTTTAATGGTCGTGTTGGTAAAACAGATGATTTATTTAGTGATGTCATTGGAAGTCATGGTGAAATAATGAGAAACAATAATGGTATGAGACTTCTGGACTTCTGTCAAATATTTAGCTTAGTTGTGACAAATACTTTCTTTCAACATAAAGGCATTCATAAATACACGAGAGTAGAACCCAGTAGAGATGAAAGATCAATAATTGATTATATTTTGGTTGAAAAAAAGTAATTTACCCAAAATACGAGACGTTAGAGTAAGAAGAGGACCTGAAATAAACAGTGACCATTATATGGTGATGGGAATAATAAAATGTCAGGAAAAATGTGAAACTAACAAGAAGTGTACGGAGAAAGAAAAGATATTTAAAAACATACAAATTGAGAGAACGAGAATATGCTAAGAGGTATAGAGAGACTTTAAATTTATCGATTAAATCGGTGGAAAAGGAGATAAACAAAATGGGAGTAGAAGCATTGTGGGAAACTTTTAGAGATATGGTGCTAACGTCAGTGAAATCAGTTTGCGGTACATACAGAACGAGTTCGAACAGAAAACAAACAGCTTGGTGGAATAATAGCATAAAAATACAAAATAAAATTAAAAAACGGAAATGGCTATGTTTTCTAAACAAACGTACAGAGGAAAGCTATACTGAATACAGGAAACAGAAAGAAACAGTGAAAACTATGGTGAGAGACAGTAAAAATAAAGTATGGAGTTATTTTGGATATAAACTTGAGCGTGACAGCAAAGGGTAACCAAAAAGTATTCTATAATGTCTTGAAGAGACTTCGAAATAGACAAAACTCAGCAACTGGCGCAACAGGGATAATGGATCACAGAATGACACCGAACCAGATAATACCTCGGTATCTACGACACATCAAGTCACCGAAGATACAGAAGAAGAGGAGATAACAATAGACGAGGTAACAGAAGCATTGAAGAAACTTAAAAATCGAAAGGCACCTGGAATAGATAAAATAACTGGGGAAATGTTGAAAAATATGAATGAAACTGGAATTAGAATACTACATTCTCTCTTCACAAAAACATATAGACAACAGATAATACCCGAGCAGTGGAAACAGAGCTGATTTTACCACTTTTCAAGAAAGGAGACAAGAAAGATTGTAATTATTACAGAGGAATAACGCTGCTGTCTACAGTATTCAAGGCCTATGATCACATAATAGAGAAAAAACTAGAAAAGTTAATAGAGCCGACATTTTCTGAAACACAAAGTGGCTTTATAAATGGAAGAAGCACTTGGGATCACATATTTACTATTAAAAACTTGTTAACTGAATTTTTACCAAAAGGAAAACCAATGTACCTTGCCTTCATGGATATGGAGAAAGCTTTTGACAGAGTTTCACGAAAAAAGTTAAAAGAGAATTTGCTGAGAAGAAATGTTAATGTAAAATTAGTAGAAGTGATCATGAGTATATACCATAAGACTAACAACCGAGGAATATCCAGAAATGTGATGTCCGAAGAATTCGCTACTACAGAGGGAGTACGTCAAGGCGAAGGGCTTAGTCCCCTATTGTTTATAGTATTTATGGATGATCTGATAAGACAATACAGACAAAGAACAAAACCAATTTTTGTTGGATACAGGAAGTTGCAAAAAGTGGAATTATCAGTGTGCGCATTTGCAGATGATTTGGTGTTGGTAACTGGTAGTGTTGGGAGTCTACAGGAAATTTGATCATTTGGAATAAAGTACTTAAGGATAATGGTATGAAACTAAATAAACTTGAAACTAAAGTTATGGCTGTGTCAAATGAAAAACTCAATATGGACGTAAGAATAGATAATGTAAAATTACAACAGGTGCACTCCTTTAAATATCTGGGATCTGTATTGGAACCTAACGGCAGAAATGAAATAGAAATTTCTGAAAGGATAGGAAAGGCAAACAACTTGTACTATGCTATGAGTAAAGGTTTTGTCAATAAAAAAGAGGTGTATAATACAATATATAGACCTATATTGACATATGGATGCGAATCCTGAGTTCTATCGCAACAACAAAAAAGGAAACTTCAGGCAGTTGAAATGAAATACTTGAGACGGGTTGAAGGGGTAACCAAAATGGACAAAATAAGAAACGAGACTATAAGAACGGAGTTAGAGTCAGAATCTATACTAGAACACATAGAAATGAAGCAGCTGAGATGGAGGAGACATTTGCAAAGAATGGGTGACAACATACCTGTGAAACAAGTTTGGGAGAGTAAGGTGATAGGAAAAAGGAGAAGTGGCAGGCCACAAAGAACATGGGAGAATACCATAGAACAGATAGTGATGAAAAGAGGAACGGATTGGAGAGAAGCTAAGAAACTTGCTTTAAACAAAAAAGAATGGATTAAATTCATGTACAAATAATAGTAGGTTTTGTAATGGTTTGTTTGACCCTACACCCATTAGGGTAAATGGGATTTTGATTATATATATATATATAAACTATAATTGTATGTTTAAAAATATATTTAAAATGGTTATTAAAGCTGAAAAATGCCCAAAATGTAACCTATTAATGCAACATCTCGCAAATCAGTCGACCTAAACAAGCGCCTAACATCATACCCATGTATTTACGTAAAAATACGTACCTCCTTAATCAATGCGGATACCATTTCAAAACGTCTGATGTGTACTAAGTGACATATAATATGCAATACCGAGAATTATTTATTGAATTTTGATAAAAAACTTGTAAACATACTTGTATTTCATCATCATAGAAGTATACGCTGTTAAAATTTTGAAGGCATTCCGAGCCGTACTTTTTTGTAAAGGCTTTTTTTTGTCATATCAGGATCCGAACAATATGAACATGCTTACTCAATATTCAGTGATTTTTCTGTTTGGTTCCATTTATTTCATTGTTGTTTCATTGCATTATCATGCATTGAGTTCGCAGACGTGCTAATTTCACTCAACTTTCCGAGTTTGAGAGGAGTCGGATAATCGGGTTACGTGAAGCCGGATTTCCTTCTAGAGAAATCGCTAATCGGGTGAATCGAGACGAAGCTACTGCAATGAGATGTTGGCGAGCGTGGTTCCAAGAAGGCTGAAATTGATGAGTTAGTGGTACTGGACGTCAAAGACAGACTACAGACCGACAGGATCGTTATCTGAGGCAACTAGCACTTAGAGATCGATTTTCCACAACAAGGGCAGTTGCTAACCAGTGGCTAAATGCTTTCGAAAGACAATATTCCATCAAACGGCATATTCATCGCACTGTGGGTGCGCTATATCCACGTTTTACAACCACATCTGCTTCCCTTTTTAGAAACATTGCAAGATCAACTTTTTCAGCAGAACAATGCACGACCTTATGTCGCACGTGTTACCTTAGACTTTTTAGAAGCGTCCGAAGTAAATCTGCGTCAGTGGCCTCCTCGATCTCCAGACCATTCCCCCGTCGAACATGTATGGGACATGATGCGAAGAATGTTGAAAAATTCACCGCACCCTCCACAAACATTGTAAGCTCTACGAAACCAAATTCAGATGGCCTGGCATTATTAACATTGAGGTGGGATATCTCAGCTATTTTGCGAAATTTCGAGTTAAAATTTTAATCACTTTCTATTTATCAGTAGACCTAAAACTTGTAAAATTATGCTCAAAATTACAGCATTCCTAATGGTTTTGCAATTCTATGTCATTTAGTATATTTTAAACACGGTTTCGGCTATATTATTGAGTAAAAAAATCGAAATAAAAAAAATGCGAAGTTGCCCAAATTTTGGTTTGAAATGTTCACTTTCGGTTTAGTACCTCAAGTTTTTTTTTAATTGAACATTTGCTTTTTTATCAAAAAGTACAGAAAATGTCCTATATAAAATGCTATGTTTCATATCCCGCTATGATACTTTTCAATTCGAAAAAACTTCAAATAGCCCGTAACTTAGAAAATGAACGTGACCCGCAAAATATCGTGTTTTCTTTCTCACACCTACTAGATTTTTAAACAGTCCAATATATACGAATTGTAAAACCTCAGTTTTTTCGCTGTCTCCTTCACGTGAAATGCCCCTTAAGCGATTCTACCACTTAACACAATCATTTGAGTCAAAATAATACTATGTGACAAATGCCTGAGAATTCCATTAGATTTTGTAGTTTGTACTTGAAGCAACAACACAGAGAAATAGAAGAGAGAGAGAGGGACAGAAATTCACCATACAGTCAGCATTCCAAAATGTTATTAAATATCAGTATACCTGGTGGGGCCAAAGTTGCGCATTTGGGTAACTAAGACATTGGCGCTTAAAAAGTTTCACAGGAGATAGCCAAAAGAAATTTAATTTTTCCAAAATCCTTTTTATTTGTTTTTCCATTTTTATAGGGGATTTTAATATAAAAAGTACATTAACATTGCCATTTTTCCTTCTCTAAAGGATTTCAATCATCAACTTTGTTTTCTTATAGTCGCCATATTGGATTTTTTCACATGTGAATGGAGTGCTTAATTCTGATTCAAAAAAAGCGTGTGTTGTACATTGACATTGCTAAAACCTAATTATTCAAAAAACAGATTTTCCTAAGTAGGCCTTGAAATTATCAGATCCGATCATTTGTTTCACAAAATTATCAGATCAGATCATTTGTTTCACAAAATCACCAGGCAAACATTTGTTCAGTTTTTATGAATTTGGCATAGGTAAAAAGTCCCTATTTTCGATTTTGATATGATATTGTACCGGGTGGGCCAATAATATAGGACTCCGGCTGTATCTCGACAACCGCTCAACCTAAAGCTATCAGTGAATAATTTTTATAATGAAAGTAGCCAAGAGGAATTGCTGAATATTATTTTCAGCTCCCTAAAATTACCGATTTGAAAAGTTCAAACTCCATTATTTGACAAAAATTCATAATTAACATACTTATTAAATAGACTTATCGTATTTCCGGACTTGTCTGTTTACGTCATTTTTTCATATTGTGGTTAGTTTAGGATGGGGGTTGAATATCATTTCAGAAAAAGTCACATAAATTCTGTTGGGCTGCACCCATTTTGATGATAGTGGTTTCTTTTGAAAGAGTATTTACCTGCGCTCCTAATATTAGCTCAGTTTTGTCATATTAGTTCAATTTATGGACACTAGATGGCGCGTTGTGGATGTGTCAGCCTTTTTTTTTTCGAAAATCTCAAATACAACGATATACTTTTATATATATATATATATATATATATATCTTGGAAAGGCTCAAATTACAATTATCAAGTACTGCTAGATAAGAATGATTTATACTATGAATAGTTGTGTAAAGTGTACCAATCTGTTCCTTTTTTAGGGTATTTCACTTTGAAATTTATTGTTACGCTCTCCATAACCGCTAGTGGGCGTAGGTATACCGTGTTTCCACCTTTTGGTCCTATTTTTTAGATCCACTAAAGGTGGCGAGCACAGATCAAGAGGATTCAAAGTAACGCTGAAAGTATATAAAATTGGCGATCTCAGTATACGAATAATCAGATAATATTTTTAATACTCAGACTACCCAGTTCTACTACATATTTATACGGAATCAATTTCATTTTGGATTTCATATATTTTCGGCAACAAACTATTTATTGAATACCCTTGGCTGTTGCTCAGCATCCTAAGGGTGCGAATTATGAGATATTACATCCATTGTAATATTATTGCGGCTATTTCGCTTAAAAGAGCGTATTAATAAAATTTAGAGTGTCATGTCATGATATTCTAAGACTGAAACAAAAGAATGAACTAAAATAAATTAGTGCAAACGTCAAAACCGTTGAGGTGACGTCGTACGCAAATTTTCAAAATGCCGCTTAAAATCGAAGTAGCTTTTGACATACTTGCTGTGTATTTTGAGTGCAAGATACAACTGTTGCTGCTACTGTTATGCTGTACGATATCCTCACAGGCGTCGCTACGATAAGCAAGTTTTTACCAGACTTGCCCAGCGACTAGTAGAGCTCGGGAAGCATTCACCGTCCCATTATTGCCAGAAAAATAGCCACCATTCCAACACTAGATATCTCTGAGAGACAATAGTACTGTCACTTGTTTTTAGGTATGCTTGCTAATAATCCAAACATAGGGAGATATTATTTGCCCACCCGGTACATATCAAGACATGGAATGATATAAAAATTCAAATATCTAAAAAAGTAATATTCCTATTATTGATCTTAATTTATCAAATAAAGAACTACATAATGCTAAAACTTGTCATATCAGTTATGGGAAAGATTGAAAACATTGACGTCGGTATTATCTCATGTAACTGATGGAAACATTGTAGAGTAAATGAAAGCATCGACGATGTTGCATCCACATCTAAATTGATGTTGAATCCAAATTATGTTATTCTACGGCTGAGGTGTCATGTAGAGAGCCTCCGTCGTTCTAACATAACGCTTGTTATAGTCGTTAAATGGGCAAATTGTCTGAATGTCCTTTAAATTCACACGTCCAATTTTTTTTCGCTTTTTTTCAACTTCCTATTTGCAGCAGTATTCTAAATCTTTTTCATCTGATTATTGCATGGAGTACTCGTATATACAGAGGACTAAAAAACAATGTTTTCAATTTTTTTCACATATTTTGGTCGATACAATTCCCTCAGTTGCCACTAAAGGTCAGTATTACTTTTTAGCACTTGCTTTTTTTGATAGGGAAAAGCTTTTATAGCTACCTTCTGGTAGAAAGGGTCGGCAGTATTGCCGTGTCAGCCTTTCCTGTTGGAAGTGTGAGATTCTCCAGAAACGGTGATTCTTTGAGAATTTCTTCGTGGTGGGTAGCCTTGCGCCCAGTTTTCTCATGTAAAACCCAGCCGGTAAAAACCTACTGTATGTTCATTGGACTGCTTTTGACAGCCTATACCTTGCTCACCATCACTCTTCTCACTATTGCTCGAGTGTTAACCGATTTTCCCTCGCTTACATATGCCTGGCAAAACTGTCGGAATTGAGCCTCTCGCCGAGCGCTATTTCCATCTTTCTCTGGTAGGCATCCCCGATGATATATAGATAGATATCTTGTTACTCGCCACGTTAAGATTGTCGATGTCTACGTCTGAGGTTACTCTACTGTTTGTCTTCACGGCGTATTTGATCTCCTCTCCGTCATGTCACCCTAAAGGGCGTCTTCTAGCTCATTATGTCTAGTTGTGAATGAGCTAGAACTTCGTGGACCCTCCTTCGTGTTATTACCAAGTGTTAGCGTACTGGTGTCTTTTAAGGAAACATTTAACCCCCACACCACTGTTTTAGTTACCAGGAATCAGCGCTTACCCATTGCATCTGCAGGGCGTTGTCAATATCTTTGGAACTCGTTTATGCTTTAGTTGTTTGAATCATCACTCTCTTTTGTAAGTGCATCTCAGTCAGCGTCGAGAGTGCGGATTTCAGGCTTATCTCATTTCACGATGTTTAGCCAGCCTTTCAGCGGTTATTTGTTTAAAGAGGCACAAAGATGCTGCAGGTTTACAACCATACCCTTGATGTCTTTTCGTGTATTTTGGCTAGTGTTGGTAATACCGTAACACAATCATTGATCATTGCCGAATTTTTCACATTTCTGAAGCTACATATCGAAGACACGCGCACATGTGGGGGAATTTGTATTAAGAGAGCAATTTCTCTAGCGCATAGTAAATACGTCAAAACGACCGAGGACTCCTTTTGTGTCAAATGTGACAAAAGCAAGAGCGTGGACCTAAGTGAAGACCTCTATTTGCAACTATGAAGCTTGTATTGAGCAGAATTTGTGAAAAATGAATACATTCATATGACATAATTATTAGAACTATACTTAATTACAATTATCATTTAGTCAAAAGATGAAGTTGACCTACCTCGATTTGACGATTCCTTAAAAATGATACGCTTTCATACCGATGCGTAAAGCCATTTTGGAAAGTTGACTATACGGTAAAGCGTTTCAGTAATTTGTACGCTCATTGCCCTGGCAATTTTAGTAAAGACACAGGTTTGTTTTATAGAAAAGTGGTTGGTATTAAGTACATATTTATTTATGAAAACTAATTACATAGTATTTTCAGTTTCATGTGACTGCTGAGAGATCACAACAACTGAAAATCTCAAAAACCATTGATTTTTGATATATCGCCCTGAAAGGAATACAACGAATTGCTAGAAACCCTGTATAGCTTGCGTGTATTCTGGTTTTACTTTCTCTTTTGTAATAAGCAATGGTGTTCGTAAAATGTGCATTTTCTCAACATTTACGTATTGAACAAACTAGTAATATAGCTTTCGTTCATCCGACCACATACGGCCAACCATGGACAGCCAGCTGCTTCGTGCAATTTGGCAACTCACCAGCATGGTCAAGGCTTGGTCTCAGGTAGGACAACGAACGAAAGCTGAGCAACTCTATTCAGGATATAGGGTCTATCGAAATAATACCGCTCAAAGTGCCAGAATTGACCACTGCGAGAGTGTAAACAGCAAGTTACCAGTCGGAACTATATCAAAAGTTACATTTGGCAACCGAGTCACCACTGTAGCCGCTAGATGTCATCCATTCTGGCGGTATAGTAGATGCGGTCTACTCGCCATTGAACATGCTGATTAGTTGCCAAATAGCGGGAAACTGCTGCCCATGGTTTGCCGTCTGTGGTCGGACGAATGAAAGCTATATTACTAGTGTGTTCAAAGGCGAGTATACCGCCAGAATCGACGGCATCTAGCGGCCACAGTGGTGACCCAACTATCAAATCAGAACTGAGGTACAGATCTGACTAACATCTTGCTGTTTTCGCTCCAGCAGTGGTCGATTCTGGTAATAGATGTTGTGTTGTCTTACTTCGAAATAACTATCACGATAGATTTTTTAACATACATACTTTCTTTCAAATGCAGCATTCCCACATTTTTCCAGAAAATTGTCTCCCTAGTTTCATATTAATTGTTTTTTAAACTACATTTAACTGTGATTCCTGTGATGTTTTCCACGCTTTTGATGAAATCTTGGAGTTTCTACATAATGGTTCTGGTCCCTGTAACTAGAAAATAATTTTCCAACAATGAAGCAGTGAACTAACTATAATTTCAGTCCTTTCGTACAGTATTGTTTGACACAGCCAATTTATAATATGCAAAGCAAGTTTTAGAACCTGACATTGGATAACTTTCCATTTTTAGCTGCGTAATTAAATATTCCAATGACTTTTCAGCATCTTGGTAAATTAAACTTTTATTACATAGGTGATCAGAGCAACTGTAAAAAACATTCCATGAAGTATTATAACTGCTGACGTCCAGAAAGCAAACACCCTTCAAGATATCGATGTTAGTAACCAAGCGTAACTGCATACGTTTTGGATATTTTATGTTTGCTGGACACTATTTTTCTGTATTATTTAAACGAATTGTTTGTAATTAGACAACTAAGCATTGCTATCATTGAAAAATAAAAAATATCTTGTACGCAAGCTATATGGCTCCTTAGGTTCATACTTTTTGTCAATAGTCCGTCATTGTGGATAATCACAGTAGTCTTTCAAATAATGAAGTCAGAATGTCAGTTCTAAAATTCCATGCTGTACTTATATGCACCTAGTATCGAAAATTACAAGTTTTATTCATTTCACAAATGTTAAATCGGTTAAGAGGACCAAAACATGAAATTTAAAGTGATATACTGTTAACAAACCGCCTTTTCTCGTTTCGTGGTCATCTAGGAACGCCGGCTCGTCGTGGCCGTCAACCAGGCTCCGCCCCTTCGCCCGTTCCGGCGCCTATGGGAGTTTCAGGCCCCACACCAACGGGGGTACCTCTTCAACCGATGGGCGGTCCATCGCCGCCCCAAACTGCGGGCGCGGTGCCGCCCACTCTGCCTCCTAATCTGCCGACTCAACAACTGCCGCAACAATCAACTTCTCAACTTGGCGGTGCTCCAGCGGCAGACGACCCGCCAATGCCTGTTCTCCTACCAGAGAAGGTAATTATAAGGGTTTTGATATTGTATTTTAGGTGTATGTTGAGGGAAAGAAGTGATTTTTCTCATAATACGTATACCATACCACACACCATATTGTATTACTTTTTTTTTAAGAAATAGGTAGGCCATACAATTATAATTCTTTTTATATCAGATAATTATGTTATTTCCGTATATTTAAATATTTGTGGCTGGAGAGAATAACGTTAACATTCGAAAGCTTATCTTATCGATTAATTCTATTAACAATTTCGTCTCTAAGTTTGTTGGATGTGTTAGCTGATATAAAACTTTTTAACTTTCACGTCTGCCACTCATATCGTGCATTCCAATAAACGGCTTTAAAAGATCCGCCATATGCATTTGGGAGACAACTAGCTTTGAAATTTGTGAGTTGTTTTTCTGTCAAGGTGTTATTTTTATTTCTGAAATTGAATAGAATACAGTGTTTTGATTTAGCATTGGTGATAAATTTCACGCTAATAGACACGATAGTTTCCAGACCACTTGACCATGAGTGCAGGGTATCCTATGAAGAACTGAGCCGTTGTTTACCCGAAAAGTTATTTAAAAAACTATTTTTCGAAAACTAGTTTTTTATGTTTAAAGTATTTTCCTCCAGCATCAATTTACTTCTGTAACCTAACCTTCCAGAAATGAAATGCTTCTAGCCAGTCAGTTTTGGGAATACCTTCAACAAACCGATTAAATGTTCTTCTTTGAACGAAAATTTTCGACCACGCATTTTTTTCAACTTCTTGAAGAGCCTGAAGTCTCGCATTGCCAAATCTGGCGAATATGGCGAATCTTCTAGCATTTTGATGTATCGCTGGCGTAAAAAGTCTACAGTTAGTTGGGCAGTGTGGCTAGAGGCATTGTTGTGATGCAGGATTGTACCTCTGCAACAACTTTTTTTGAATGAAGATGATCATGCAAAATGGTGTGCACTGTTGCGGATCCTACCACAAGAGTTGCCTCTATAGTCGCATACGTACAGCGAGAATCTTCTTCAATTGGCCGCTGAACTTTAACAATGTTTTCTGGAGTCACACAAGAACATGGCCTACCACTACGTTCTTCATCAGCCAATGAAACACGCCTTCTTTTAAATTCGGCATACCAGTGAGGCACACTTGCCCGGGACGGAGCTTCATTTCCAGATGCCTGTTGTAACCGTTCGATTCATTGATGTTCAGTTAAACCAACTTTAAGCTCATGGTAAATCATAGCACGATAACTCTATGTTTCGTCTTAAATTTGTTTACACCACGTGCACTGTAAGACGCTTGCAAATGAACTGAATGCGGCGACTTACAAATAAAGGACTGCTCTTTCTAATAGTGCACTATTGCCGGTCTTATCTGGTATAGTTAATGCGCATCTCAAAATATACAGCATGCCCCTCGTATTGTGATGTTGCTAAAACGAGTTGGTATTATGTATTCTTGAAGTGTATCAAGTTCACAATCGTCAAAAATTTTGCTTATTTTGTGCAATTTGTGATTTTCACTTGAGCTGGTTAGCACACAACTCAGTCAGTATAGTGTATATGTATATTCTAGCAAACATTTTCTATTGAAATAACCACACAAAGAAATAGTTTATAAAGCATCCGGTTAATCGATAAACCAGCCGAGAAGGCGCTCTAACTGGAAAACATATACTTCAAAAAACGGATTATTTTAGAATTTAATTTGTGTTTTAGGCTATCGAATCGGGTGTGATACGCTCTGGCGCTGCACTTCCAATGCAAGTCCCACCACCTGAGCCCCTGGCTGGAGGCCCGTCCGCTGAAGGAGATGAGAAAATAAAGCCTGCCAACGCAAGTCCGTACTGCGACTTTTGCCTTGGCGACTCGAAAGAGAACAAAAAAACGGGCATCAAAGAAGAGCTGGTCTCTTGTTCGGATTGCGGTAGATCAGGTAAGGAAGCATCACAAGGGATAGGTGAAGGTAATATTGACGCAATTTATGGGTTGGCCGATAGGAAGAACAGAAAAAAGAGATCTCTGTAGGCTTTACATCGATAACGTGGTAAAAACATAGAGATCTTGTATTTATACTACTGTACTACATTTTATTATTTATATATTAGATAAAAGGATCGCTGGACACTTGGAATGCTAAGAAAGGCACTGCTGGCATACAAATTTCAACAACTACTTACGACCCTGCGTATTCGTGAAACCAAGGGCACGCTGAGGCACAGGACCTCTCAGGTCATTCTGATGTTGTTCTAACAGTTGAAAGGTCGAAGTGTCTGTGTGTTGTGATTTTGTGAATAGTGCCGATATCAAGTTAAGGTCAAGGTTCGATCAAACGGTGAGAGTTTTCACTGAGTGTCTTTTATTGTTTTGCTGTACTGTTTCTAACCATGGTACCCTTATAATCATGATAATAATTGTAATAAGTCAAAACTAGTCAGATGAGATATGTTTATCAACAGTTAAGATAAAGTTGAAGGTAACTTAGAGTCAAATATCTACAGAGGTGTGACGCCTCCATATCCTGGGGGCTGTTATGAGACCTGCAGAACCGGGTTGCCATCGGGGGAATTACTGCTCGGCTTCCTCTGTCAGGGGAAATGTCGGAGCGTATTGGGTATTGACACAACGGCCATTGGCCGGCGTGGTATCCTAGGTCTGTGTGACCGCCTAGGCTCTTCTCTAGGAAATTGCAGGAGTCTAACAGTATCTCATGGCAAGATGTGTATAGGGATTGTCACTTGAAGTTGTCACGCTGCTCGGTTATCTCTCAATCAGAGGTAACGTCGGAGCTTTTGGGTATTGACACGGCAACGTGATATCCTGATTTCTGGGCTGCTTTTCGTAACAATCAAATACTTGGCATATCTGTCTAAGCACCAGATTATTAAGGTATCCTTCAGTGCGGTAGGAAGCTACCGTTCCCCCGAGTAAGGACACGGGCGTGACTTCCATGCAGTAGGAAGCTACCGTTCCCCCGTGCAAGATATTTCCATATCAGGCGTGACTTCCATGCGGTAGGAAGCTACCGTTCCCCTGATCATGGACACGGGCGTGACTTCAATGCGGTAGGAAGCTACGGTTCCCCCGTGGAAGGTATTATATTTCCATATGAGGCGTGACTTCCATGCGGTAGGAAGCTACCGTTCCCCTGGTTATGGACATGGGCATGACTGCCATGTGGTTGGATGCTACCGTCCCCCATGCAATGTACTGTAATTTATAATGATATAATTGAGAAATGTCATGGTCATTATTATATTGTTTTGTGATCAGTATCGAGAAAGCTAATTAACATAATCAATAGACAGTAGAGACACAGGAAAATATCACTTTTTATTTCAATAAGCGTTCAATATGTTGCCCGTTATTGACCAAACAAAGATATAGGTAATGTTCAAATTCTTGACGGACGTTTTCAGAAACATGTTGTGGGATATCATGGCAACTTTCGATAATGCGTTGACGAAGTTCAGCCATACTTTCAGGTTGGGTAGTAAACACAATATATTTCAAATGGCCCCATAGAAAAAAGTCTAATGGCGTCAAATCAGGAGATCTAGCAGGCCATTCTATAGGCCCTCTGCGCCCTATCCATTTATCTGGAAACTCGTCGTCTATCCATTGCCGAACTGGAAAAGCAATAGTGAGGAGGAGCGCCGTCTTGCTGGAAATATAGTCATAGTTATAGTTGTTTATTGGCATTTTACACAAACTGTGTTTATGCAAGTGAATAATTGCATAAATATCTAAAATGTAATACAGTAGATGCTTTTTACTTTGGACGAGTACGTAATAAGGGTACAGAGCTTCGTTAAATAAAAACAGTCACAATAGCACATTGAAACAATAGACTGTTATTTCATCCTCATCAAGTAAAGGGTTTCCATCGTCCTCGATTTGGTTTTCAATGGTTTCAGTGATAAGCGGATTGATGGTATTTTCCAATATATCCAAATAAATGTCTCCATTCGAATTTCCATTGATAAACAATCGCCCAATCACTTTGTTTCCTAAAATGCTTACCCATACATTAATTTTTTGGGGGTACTGGGTATGCCCTTCTACAAAAGCATGAAGATTTTAATTGCTCCAATACCTGCAGTTATGCTTATTAATAAATCCATCTAGATATAATGTGCATTCATGACTCATTGATCGCTGCAGTCATTTGTTCACAAAACTCAACTCGCCTTTCGAAATCATCTTCGGTTAACTCTTGAAATATTTTCATTTTGAATGGATGAAATTTATGGAGTTTAGTAACTGTGTGTACAGAGCCTAATGAAATACCAGTCGCAGCAGCAATCTTGCGTAATGAAGTATTAGGATTATTCCAAAATGACCCAAAACTTCAACTTGAGCGGCTTCATCCAAAACTCTCCGATGATCACGTTTTTTATATGCAACAGATCCAGGTAGAGTAAATTTAGTAACAAGGTCCAAAACATACCTTTACGAAGTTCCTTCCCCGGATGTCTGGCGTTAAACGTGACGCAGTTTGCCCAGCACATTGATTTTGGGCACCATAAATTAGAATCATTTTCTTTCCCTTAGCAACAAATAACTTAACAGGTATAACAATAAATACAGTTCGTGCAGGATATCTGTGTTGATGAGAAGAATGCGGGAAAAAATTCGGGTTGTTATTTGGTTGTTGCCACATCTAATCTCCCGAACTGCTGTTCATGTTGGTAGTTTCCGTTTTAAATTATAAACGAATTGTAGATTTGGCAAACATTTTTAACACTTATTGAAATAAAAAAAAATGTTTCGTATTTCTTGTTTTCTATCTGAACAAATTAAGATAAATAAAGATTTTTCTAATTTTATGGAAAACGAATCGACCGATTTTAAATAATCAAACGTCAAAATAAAGGAGTTCGAAAGACCTTTCAAACAAGCTATTACTCGATACCCCTGCACATTTGACATTTTTAAGGGGATGGCCCTGTGGGCAGAGGTGAAAGGGGGTGAAGAAGTTTCTGGTTAAAAAGTTGTCCCCTTTGATATTTTTTTTTTGACGTGTGTCGGCGTTTTCGGCATTTATTCTTTTAGTCTGTGGTTTTCGATAAATCCGTGGTGGGAAGGTTTCCACCAGTATATATAACAAGTAATAGAAAAATAATTGGCAAATTCCGAGAAAAGAAGGAAAGTGAATCCGAGCAGAAAATAGGATAGGTAACCCGAGCGATACGTATTTCTGCTTGTTGGCTACATCAGGCCCGAAATGAATGCACATATGCAACTACAAAAGTGGATACAAAGTAGGATAGATATTAGCTATATATATATATATATATATACTTTGAAGTTGAGTCATTAATTTTCAGATAATGATTGTAGAAGGAAGATAAACCAAAATATGTGTGTAAAAATAAAAAAAAAAATTACCTTGTTTTATAAAGTATCCTCCCGACAAGTATTTCAGTGCGGACCTGTATTTGATCGTGAGGTCTTGGAGCACCGGCATGCCGGCCATATGTGAGGTCTTAAGTCAAATGATTCACGAACCCGTTGTACTACATTAACAAAGGCACGAGGGGTTGGTTGCACTCGATTGGGAAACCGATCCGCATAAACATGTGCCATTTTTTATTTCGTTTGAGCCACGCAACAGACACCACTATCCACTACCGACTGACACTGACTGTATACAACTGAATGAAATAATTGTAAAAACATCGTTCCAAATTCTTTCGCTTTTTTGTTTCCGATGCGATGAACCGATAAGGCGAATTATATCCGTTGTCGCCAAACACGAGCACATAATATTATTATTGAGACAGGGCGGTACTCAAACTTCCAAAGGGCTATAACTTTGTTACTTTAATTTTACCAGAAAAATTGTAAAGGAAAAAACATTTCTTTTGATCAGATCTACTCACTGTTAAAATAAATGACTCAACTTCGAAGTCTCCCTGTATATACAGGGTGTTTCAGAACTATGGGATTGTAGGGGTTATTCAGTGTAAGACGCGTTAAAATTTAGAAAGAGGATGAATTGCCTAAATAGGATTTAATGCATTTAATTTTTGCCTTTTGTACATGATATCATCACAACAATTGTTCAAAATGTCTTCCTCCAACCTGAATACACCGTTTCTGTGGGGACATGTAAAGTCTTTGGTTTACGAAACTCCAGTAGAAACAGAGCAAGAGTTGATCGGACGAATTACAGCAGCATCTGAAATCATTCAAAACGAGTATCAAATTTTTAGTCAAGTCCACCGAAATCATGTGCGATGTTTAAATCAGTGTATTCAGGTAGGAGGAAGACATTTTGAACAATTGTTGTGATGATATCATGTACAAAAGGCAAACAATTAAATGCATTAAATCCTATTTAAGCAATTCACCGTCTTTCTAAATTTTAACGCATCTTAGGGCCGTAGTGCCGTAGTGACACTTTTCCGGATATCGGTCCCTATACTCGAACGTTTTCTACTGTTACACTGAATAACCCCTAGAAGTTTGATCCCGTAGTTCGGAAACACGGCAAATTTTTAGGCTTAAGTTGACTCTTTTGACGATAAAATCAAGCTTTCGGCATTCTCTATGGAGCCTTCATCAGGATTCTGACAACACAATTGTGCTGCTAGCAAAGAAAACAGGACAGATTTAAATTGTCAAACAACTTACTCGTCGTTGAGGTTCAGCCACAAGGTGTTTCAAAACGAACGTAGAGAAGATAGAACTTGTAGTAAGTATAAAAACAAAGGGACGGAGATATTGGGCTTGTTGATAACGACAGATACCTTCGTTACATGTTAAAAATATCAATAAACCCGAACATATTAAAAATTATTAAACATTAGAAGGCATTTTAGGGAAACAATCGGAATGCAGTCTCTAACCACCTACTTCCGCTACACGTGGAGAGGGGGCCGGCACGGAACGATAATGCGTCGACAGATGACAAGTGATTGACGCGACGGACCGTGGAACTGTAAACCTCATTGTCCAATTTGGGTACGAAGTATACGAGGGACGCTCGGTAAACCTCCACCCAAATTACTAAAATGCTGAATTAATTTGTTTTGGAAAAATGTATAGTTCATATGAGTGTACGAATGTGAGATAGTGATATAACCTTGAAAAGATAGGTTATGTGAGTTTATATTAAAATTGTGAGTGAGAAATTTCAATTAATAGGATAGCAATTGGAAATGTATTCTAATTTTGTGACGATGTTGGTTCGATTTGGATATGAAGCCGTTCTAGCTTTTCGCAATTCAACAGGTAGGAATAAATAACACTGAGCTGCTTAACATCAGCCTTCTTATTCATGCAATGATCTGTCATGAAAATGTGGGACATTTCTAAAAATAAACGTTGTGAGAGTCTTTTTTCTTTATCAAGAACCTCAATACTGCCATAATTCATAGAGTGACCTGTGTTGTTAATATGAGATGCCAAAGCACATCTCTCTGGATGTAATCTGGCGTCACTTTTGTGTGAAGTTATCCTGCCTTTCAGTGACCTCGAAGTTTGGCCTATATAAACTGAATTACAGTTGTTGCAATTAATGCGATAGACAGTGTTGGTTGAATCAAGCAACTGAACCTTATCCTTCATTTTGGACAACAAACTGTTGACTGTGAGCACTGATTTACAAGCAAAACGACAATTAAAGGAATTATACAGCCTGATCAGTTTTAGTGTTAGTTCTTTGATGTATGGCAAGACAACATAATTAACTCTGGAGATAGAAGCAACCACTGTAGTGCTGTTATTCTCATTGGTTGAAGAATTCATGGGTGTCTGGTTGGACTGAACGGTGTTGTTAATTCCTTTAATTGTCGTTTTGCTTGTAAATCAGTGCTCACAGTCAACAGTTTGTTGTATAAAATGAAGGATAAAGTTCAGTTGCTTGATTCAACCAACACTGTCTATCGCATTAATTGCAACAACTGTAATTTAGTTTATATAGGCCAAACTTCGAGGTCACTGAAAGGCAGGATAACTTCACAGAAAAGTGACGCCAGATTGCATCCAGAGAGATGTGCTTTGGCATCTCATATTAACAACACAGGTCACTCTATGAATTATGGCAGTATTGAGGTTCTTGATAAAGAAAAAATACTTCCAAAACGTTTATTTTTAGAAATGTCTCACATTTTCATGACAGATCATTGCATGAATAAAAAGGCTGATGTTAAGCAGCTCAGTGTCATTTATTCCTACCTGTTGAATTGCCAAAAGCTAGAACATATCCAAATCGAACCAACATCGTCACAAAATTAGAAAACATTTCCAATTGCTATCCTGGTAGTTGAAATTTCTCACTCACAATCTTTAATATAAACTCACATAACCCATCTTTTCAAGGTTGTATCACTATCTCACATTCGTACACTCATATGAACTACATATTTTTCCAAAACAAATTAATTCAATATTTCAGTTATTTGGGTGGAGGTTTACCGAGCGTCCCTTGTATACTTCATACCCAAATTGGACAATGAGGTTTACAGTTCCACGGTCCGTCGCGTCAATCACTTGTCATCTGTCGACGCATTATCTTTCCGTGCCGTCCTCCTCTCCACGTGTAGCGGAAGTAGGAGGTTAGAGACTGCATTCCGATTGTTTCCCTAAAATGTCTTCTCATGTTTAATAATTTTTCATATGTTCAGGTGTATTGATATTTTTAACATGTAACGAAGGTATCTGTCATTATCAACAAACCCAATGTCTGCGTCCTTTTGTTTTTATACTTATTACAAGTTCTATCTTCTCTACGTTCGTTTTGAAACACCTTGTGGCTGCAACCTCAACGACGAGTAAGTTGTTTGATAATTTAAATCTGTCCTGTTTTCTTTGGTAGCACCACAATTGTGTTTTCAGAATCCTGATGAAGGCTCCATAGGGAATGCCGAAAGCTTGATTTTATCGTCAATAGAGTCAACTTAAGCCTAAAAATTTGCCAATATATATATATATATATATATAGGTGAAAAATTAAAGCTTCCGCCTTTTGTTGGGTACTTCGACAAAATTTAAGCAAAGAGGACTCTTTATACTTTTTTAATTCTCTCTAGCTTTCAATGGACTTTGCCATCATCATCAGGAGAGTAGTATGTGAGGATTTTGCTAATTGTTGTGTACGTATAGAATGAGGGAAACGTCCAGTAACATGGTGAAAGCTGGATAGATGGAACCCTTTGACCTCATCTCACTCATTATTCCATGACCACCATTTTGTACAATCATCAAGTGGCTTCACGATTTTAAAAAAAAAAATTAATCTGTTTTTAACTTGTTCTTGTCATATTTTATATAATTTTTGACCATTGTACCATCTATCCGGCTTTCACCATGTTACTGGACGTTTCCCTCATTCTATACGTACACAACAATTAGCAACATCCTCGCATACTACTCTCCTGATGATAATGGCAAAGTCCATTGAAAGCTAGAGAGAATTAAAAATGTATAAAGAGTCCTCTTTGCTTAAATTTTGTCGAAGTACCCAACAAAAGGCGGAAGCTTTAATTTTTCACCTAACTGGTCTAGACGACAATGACCACGTCTCAAGTTATATATATATATATATATATATATATAGATACCGGGTGGCGCGTCGAAAACGAAACAGACGCATTTACTGGCAGCTCAGTTTTTTTTTTTTTTTTGAAAAACGCTCAGACCCGTCGATTTTGTTTTCGAGGGTGACACAAGTTTGGCAAAAAATCACGTTAACACGTGCAGCCCCCTGGGCGGGGGTGACACCAACCCTAAAATCTTAAATGGAAAGGGGGGTCGAGTGATACATTATTTTAAAGGTGTTTCAATTCCCTTTATAATGATATAAAATTAATGTACTTCAGTTCAGTAGTTTTGAAGATTTACTGATTTAAAGCTTAAAGTAGACTTCAATAGGTACATCAGATTAGTTTGTACTACTTTCAGAAGAAATTTGACTAAAAGAATTTACTTAATAAGTAAATGCTTTTCTTCACTACGCCCATGGTTTGTTTATCATTTTGTTGTTGAAAATAGCTATTGGAGCGTTTTTTTTTTGTTGCAAAAATGTTATTTCTTGAAGAAAGATAAGGAAATATCTCGTACTTATTTTAAATAGGAATTTAGTACATAGTTTGCGATTGATTTGACCAAACATTGTTGCCAAAATAACTTGTAACGCTTTATTACATAAATTAACCATGGTATAGGTATTTCACAGCAGAAAGTTGAAATTATCGAAATATTTTTCGGAAATAATCAATGCGCTAATCGAACAGCAGAAATATTTAATGAGCTACATGAGAACAGTAAGGTACATCGAAAATATGTCCTAGAACTTGTACCTAAATTTCGGGAAACTGGGTCAGTCGCCAATAAAAAACGCAACATTGAAAATCCCATAAGGAACGAAGCAATAGAAGTGTGGGTTTTAGGGCAAGTTTATGTAGATCCTACGTTAAGTACCCGCAAATTGCAGACTGTATGTGGTGTTAGACGACGTACTGTTCAACGAATTCTGAAGGCCCATAGTTTTCATCCGTATAAAATTCACCTGGTACAAGAACTTAATGAAGATGATTTTGATCGGCGATTACAATTTTGTGAAGATTAGAGTGAACGAATTATAAACGATGAACATTTTCTATTCAACACTTGCTTTTCAGACGAATGTTCCTTTTCCTTAAATGGCGTAATAAATCGTCATAACTTCCGATATTGGTCCGATTCTAATCCCATAATTTATCATGAGGTTCATACACAGCACCCACAAAAATTAAATGTTTGGGCTGGTATTTTTGGCGATCATTTAGTTGGTCCTCTATTCTTAGCTGGAAATATGACTGGTGAAATGTATTTGGAATTACTGGAAAACGCCATAGATCCTGCAATAACAGCCATAATTGAAAATCAGAATGAACGGCGGTACATTGCGAATAGGTTGATGTTCCAACAGGATGGTGCCCCACCACATTACGCATTACGTATTCGACAATATTTAGATCAGACGTTTCCATGGATGGATTGGTAGAAGAGGTGCCATTGAATGGCCGCCAAGATCGCCAGATTTATCACTTTTAGATTTCATTATGTGGGGTCATTTAAAAAGCAAAATCTATGCTACTCAGCCAAAATCATTAGAAGACCTGCGACAAAGAATTGTGAATGAGTGCCTTCAAATTACTCCTCAAATATTGCAAAATGTGCGGCATCGTTTTGAGCAAAATCTTTATTATTGCATGGAGAGTCATGGTGGCCATTTTCAACATTTACTTGCCTAACGGGTCAGTTCATTCTTCATTTTTAAATTACTTTGCTGCCAAATGTATTGATCTCCACTAATGATGATGTATTAGTTTTGTTTAAGCTTTAAATCAATAAATCTTCAAAACTACTGAACTGAAGTACATTAATTTTATATCATTATAAAGGGAATTGAAAGACCTTTAAAATAAGGTATCACTCGACCCCCCTTTCCATTTAAGATTTTGGGGGTGGTGTCACCCCCGCTTAGGGGGCTGCTAACGTGATTTGTTGTCAAACTTGTGTCCCTCGAAAACAAAATCGACAGGTCTGAGCGTTTTTCAAAAAAAAAAAATTGAGCTGCCAGTAAATGCGTCTGTTTCGTTTTCGATGCGCCACCCTCTATATAGCTATTTTTGCCTTTCTAATTGACGTGTAAAGAGACAATAAGATTACGGTGAAGTTTTTTGTGAAAACATTTCCTTGAATTTACGCACCATTGATGAAAACTTTTTATCAAAAAGGTATAACATACAAAATCCCAGCTTATTTGACCAGGACCTATTTTCGATCAATGTTTCGTTGACTTACGCACACAGTAACTCGGGAGCGATTGTTACTCCAACCTTCTGCCCATATATACTTTCGATGTAAATGATATAGCCGATATCATACTAAAATAAAAGGCACTTTGACAGGAATTTATTTTCCATGAGAATTTTAATGATTTGGTACTATCAGAAATGTGTAAAATGTTTCTGAAAATAGGCAAACTTCAGTATATGGGTCATATTGGCACTGTATGAGATAAGTGGCCAAAGAATTCATAAAAGCATGTTGGTGTCTGTCGTAAACCATACATTTTTTGGGTTTATTCAGCTTGAATACCCTGTAACTCGAAGACCGTTTATTTTAGGACCACAGTGCAATGAAGACTTTTGGAGAACAGCATACTGAAATTTCTGACAATTTGAACGGTAGTCATTTGCCATAAGGAATGCTCCGTATTCTTTGAGTAGTTACATACGTACATTATATTTATATTTTTTTGATGGACTGAAAGATCTTTTGTGTAGTAGATGTATTTCCATTGAAAAGCACAGCATACTAGTCTATACAAATCATATAAAAGTGTACTTAAGTCAGTGATAGCCAAAAAATGTAAAGAACAGTAATTTTCCAAGAATTTTTATAGTCATGTAGTGAAACTCGTTTTTCTGTGCAATAAAATGATCTGAATCAAACTAAGAGTTCAGTCTATACTTGTGCCGAAGTACGGTGCACTTCAGTTAAGTTAGATAATTTTTCTGTAGTGATAATCATATAAGCTCATTATATTTTGCAATCGAATGAAAAATTACATAACTTGGAAGATCACTGTTCTTCGGCACTGGTGACCCCCCTCCTACTGTAGGATTCTGCGGTATCAACGTTGTTGATAAATGGTAAGTATTTGGTTACATCTGGTTTTACAAAGACTGAATTACCGATTTAATGTGGGTACTCATTATCTTTTAACGCTGCTGAGCACTATTGCATTACTCTTAACCAGCTTGATGAAAACTGCTAGTATCTATTTTTTTTAATAGATGGTTACAGACCGATATTTTTCATACAACACGTGTTATGAATTGAAATACTAAACCCAGAAGACTGCGAAGATGATGAGGAAATACCGACAGTGGAGTAACTATAGTGATATTGCCCTACTAAGATTTTTTCTTACCTGCTACAGAAACGGATAGGCAAATAAGAAGAACAAATACTCGGTGGTTATCGGGAAGGTTATGGGAAAGATCCATAACCGACCATTTTCACCAAAATGAATAATATGTGTCTGTCCTATCCATAGATTTTAGGTAAGCTCACGACATCATTTTTAAAAGCTAGGTATACAAATGTATAAAGAATCTAGGTATCCCACTTGAATTAGTGATACAAAAATGACGCTGGAAAATACTGAAAGTAAGGTACGAGTAAACGGGCAATAAAGAAGCTAGACAAGGGGAATCCATATAGACCGTACGTTTTATCCTTGTCTTGGAAGAATTGTTAGGGATAGCAATATTCACAGGCAGGGAACGATCCATAACCTGAAACATCAATGCGTCGCATACGCAGACGAGCTAGCCTTTATAACTAGGACAAAAAAAAACTTGAAGACATATTTAGGGGGCTAGCAATGCTGTAGAATAGTCGGTTATAAAATAACGAATAAAAAATGAAGTACATGGTAATGAAGACCGCCACCGAGTTAGATGATGAACATCTAGTGATAAATAAGTATATCGACGGGAAGACATTTGAATTTAGAAACAAACACAACTCCATTTACTTAGGAGTGAACATTAACAACATAAATGGAGCAGCAGTGAACTTCAATAGAATAATAAATAAGGGTAGTAGAAGTGCAGGACTGCTTACACTACTGCTGAGATCGATATTAGTTTACAGAGGAGCAAAAGAAAGGCTATGCGAAACAGTGATTAGCCCAGCAACTACACTCAGGTTCAAAATAAACGCAACAAGCAACATTTTTGGTTAAATTCGTAACGTCATAATTTTTTGATTTTTCACCCTATTTCATTGATTACTTCGGCAGGCTATAGGTACACTCATTGGCTTTATTATGTAAATATAAGTTCTTTATTCTAGTCACGGTTCTACTTGTTGTACAGGGTAAATCAAAATTATGTTTCATTACCCCAACCTTGAGTCACTCTGTGGTGTGACTCAAAGTTTCCAACCAGGCCGCAATGCTTCTCATTATCAAGAACTACACTTACTCTATAATCTGGTTTTTTTATTCACGTCAGTATAGGCAGTGGTTGAAGTTTTAGAGGCAAATGAAAATTTCACCACCATTTTTGCTTTTTCCTTTCTTCCTTTTTTAATTCATGTCGAAGTTAAGAAGTTTTTCGTCAACTTGTACTGAAATCTAGTGCCTTTCTATGCTAGGAATATATTTTTTTATATCGTCATTGCTTACGTTTATCTACAGTAGCGAAGTAACTGCAAACGTTTGACTTAATTTAAGAACACGCAGTATATTACTTTCACGCTCTACCCTTTTGAAATACAGTGCCATATTTTCCCCATCCTCTAATTTTGGGTTCATGAAAAATCGAGTGAAAGTGAATTGGCGCAGACTGTAACACAACAATTCACAGATTTTAGTCAGTATTATACTCTTCAGATAGACCCCTGGTTTGCGAAATAATTGTAAAGTCTGGTCTTATTGATGCAAGTTGTTCAACGGGGTATTTAAAACATGGACACATAAAATGGGTACACCATTTTTTGTGGTAAAACCTTTTATTCGACAACAAAGAATGAGAAAGCCCATTTTTTGGGATTCAGTTGAAAGTGCTGGCAGAAATGGAGCAACTCTTCAAATAAGATTTTTAGGTATTTAAGAGACCTAAAAAATGAGTCCACACGTTAAAAGATCCGACTAATACTAAAAACATTATGGCCGAAAACCGATGCAAAATGCAGGTTTCGGCACTTGTTTCTAATGCGACGATAATTTCACGCAGCTACTTGAAATTCTTCAAATCCGTAGGCTTCTTACCTTTAAATAACCTCAACAAAATTGAAGTCAATTGGTCAAGTAGTTTTTGAAAATTTCTAATTGCTTATCCCAAAACACCTGTCTTCCGGCCATCACTACTAGTTTAGCAATGAGCAATATACAGAGTTCGTTGGAAGGGCACTTTATAGCAAAATATACGATTTTATCTTGCCGACGTGAATCACAAACCAAAGATGATTGTTATATTTATGCGAAAAACGAAGGGTTCCCTTCTTTCTTATGAACAAATTCAATCATTTCATATATGTGAGTAACTGAACATATTCGCTACGATAGTCGAAATACATAAGTTATTATACACATTTTAAAACAAAGCGGATATGTCTAACACCTTTTTTGTTACGAAGAAAACAATTTTTTCCAAGATTTCTTCATACTCTTGTGTATACATATTTAGAGCTGACATTTTTACACGTTCACAGTTGAGTCTTAAAGTTTGAAAGTTTATAAAAAAGAATATTCCATACTGAAATGGGCTGAACTGTTTATAAAGTTAGCACGCAAGACACAATTACGTTTCAAACTGTCTTAGACTAGTTAGTATGTAGCATGTGCTAAATAGCTGCATTATTGATGACTGCATAACTTTGTCAAATAAGCAGTTCACGTAATCCAGTTTCATTACGAAGAAATATAATTCACTAGACTTTTTTCTAAAAGTATAATATCCCCAGGGATCGGTCTTGGCTCCGACACTGTACCTCTTACATGTCAACGACCTCCTTTCCTGCACGATCAATCCAATCCACAGCTTCGCTGATGACAGCACTCTACATGCAGAAATTCAGAGTGACCAGCCGATCTCTGCCGCTGAGCTGGAAAAAAGAAGACTAGCAACCACTTCCTCTCTGACGTGAGAAGACCTGCAGGTTATCACTGCTTGGGGACGCAACAATCTTGTACAGTTTAATGCTTCCAAAACACAGTACTGTACTTTGACGAACAAAGAGCGTCCTAGCGCTCATCCGGTTTCGATGGACAGCCGAGTGCTGCCAAAGAGCCATTCCTTTCGGCTGGTCGGAGTCCAGATCACCAAGGACCTGATCTGGCACGAACACATCTTGTCAATAGCAGCAGCTGCTGGGAAAAAGCTAGGCTATTTGTTTAGGGCTAAGAAGTACTTTTCTCCGTATGACCTTCTCACTCTATACAAGACGCAGATAAGGCCTAGCCTCGAATATTGCTCACACGTTTGGGGTGCTGTTCCCCCGACTAAATTGTCCATGCTCGATGCTGTCCAGAGGAGGGCGGTCCGACTGATCGATGACTCTTCTCTAACAGACACTCTCGGGACCCTTTCGCACCAGCGGGCCGTCGGCGATCTAGCTCTTTTCTACCGCTACACCAACGGGCTTTGCTCCTCAGAGCTCTCTTCCATGATGCCGCCGCGCGATGTGCCTGCCAGGCAGACCCGCCTGACTTTGGCGTCCCATCCTAACCGTGTCAAACTTCGTACATCCAGAACTGGCCGATACGACCGCTCCTTTGTCCCGAGGGTGTCGAGATTGTGGAACAATCTACAAGAGGAAGCTTTTCCCAGTTCTACTAACCTTAGGCTGTTCAAAAATCGTATTAACAAAATTTCTTTGGGATCATCATAGCAGCCGCGGTATTCCGGCATTTAGGCTTCTGCCTGCGAGGCTGCTTCGATATGAAAAAAGGAGTTTAGCAATGTTATACTGCCGTAGCAATTACAATGACCTCAACGTTCTCCACCTTATTCCAAATGCCAGTATAGGAAACCTTTTCCATTCCCCAAGTTTTCTCTCAATGCAATTTCTATTTCTGATTTGTTATCTGTGTTATCAAATAATTTTTAATTGGATACCCACTGTCACCAACAATAACATATTAATTGAAGTCTCCTCGTTAAAATCTAACTCTCATGTTTGAATTTTCAAATATGTGTGAATCATGACTTGAGCTTGGCCAGTGGCATACCACATCCTGAAACATGCAGTTTCAGTCCCATATTGCTCGAATATTAAAAGAGAAGAAGCCTTTTCTTTTTCTAAAGATTTCTGCATTGTTTTCACCAAGCACTCTCATTTTTATATATGTGCAGCTCTCGACTGCAATACATTTGAGAGATCATGCTATATCATAAGATTTTTGAGAAGTTATCTTTAATTCAGCTTCTGTTTCAGAGATAATAAAGTCCTGCATCCTGCAATTGCTCTGGTCATCTTCCAAACAATTCGACTTGCTGTCCTTTTATCAATGCCAACAAAGTCTCAAAGAGTTTGAAAAAAGTTTCCTGTTGCATAATATCCTAAAGTAACAAGAACCATTTGTTCCACAGATACAACATGATTCCTGAAAATAATAAGTATTACTAATATTAACATTAATTTGGTAATATTTAAAGAAGGATTTTTTGGAGACATTATTTGTGCTTTGACCTGGTTTGTAACAAATCGAACACCTTTTTTGGAAAGTCGAAACCTTTGAATGAATTTGCCATCATTCCACACTACAAAGAGATCAATTCTATATCTGTATTTCTTCTGTTTTGTTCTAGTATTTATAATTATTTCTGCTGCTTCAACAAAGTCTTCATCATTTGTTAGTTGTGGGAGATTTTCTCAAATTTGTAGCTGCTGAGCGCCATAACACCGAGATATGTGTAAATGTTTTACTGTCAGGAAAAACCCATAGTAAATTGTTGAAACGCCAATGCATCAAAAATATTAAATATTGTCTGATACCATCCTTAATTTTGTACGAAATTTAGTACAAAATTTTGTACGAAATTTAGCACGAAATTTCGTATCGTGACAGACGGCCTCAAGTCTATTTTCGCAATCTCGTTCGATGAAAAGGACTGCGAGTTCAAAATGTTGGAAAATAAACTCGAGAAAACGAAAAAACAGTAGACAAATATCAACCAATTGTAGGGAACTGACCGTCTTGAAAATTAGGCAAAATGCTCGTTATTAGTCCCTAATAGGTACATTATTTAAAGATTCAGCATTGTTCTTGTATAGTTTTCAAGAGTACTGTAATTGTTTATAACATAAATATTTGATATGTCTCCAACGTTCGCCTGACATTTGTCAGTGTCAAATATAGTGGTATAAGTAAACCAAGAGGCGTCCTAGCTTAATGGGTTATTGAAGATTGCAGAACCGCAGAATGGAGGTTTGAATTCACTAAGCTCCTTTTTTCTCTATTATTTTTTTTTAATTTAGAGAAATAAATGCTTTTCACATTATGTGTACTTTTATTGCGATCAAACGCACGCACGTCATAGACAATGTAAGCATGCAATAAGGAAACTAGGGGATACGTACGATAGTTTATAATTTTTTTATATTACTTTGATAAAATTTCAGAAACATTATTTCGGATCATAGCAGATAATTTTTGAAAATAAGTATCTTAGAAGTGTAAATTATTAACCAACAATAATGAAACACATCCGAAATTTTATTTGTGATAATACGCTCAAGTTTTCAAACGCGGTCAAATTAGGTACCTCTTGGAGCCGCAGAGGATGCGTATAAAATTAAGTGAGCTAACCCACAGTTTTTGTATTTATCAAGTTACTGTTGAGCGTAGATGCTCATTTCATCAACAGCGTAGACATTTTTTTGCTTAGCTTGTATGTTTGTATTATGGCAGCATAACGCAAGGGTAATCTCCCTTCTCGGGTGTGATCGGAAAGAGGATGCCCCAACACAAGAGTTTTATAGTCATGTAGTGAAACCAATGAACTGTCAACACTGATGGAACAGGCGTAACGCGAATTCATTGCGGCTCGAATGAGAAACGAGAAGGATAGCGCTAGTCAGGGCAAAACATCGTGGTCCATTATGGTATTTCCATATATGTTCTAAGGATTTTTGGTGAATGTTTGTTTTTAGTGACGTTAAAGATTAATAGTGATAGTTTGCGACAATTATTATAAACATTTTTATGCCGGACAGCCTTCAAGAGCTGTTGTTTTATGTGATATTTGTTTAAAAATGGTTGAATCTTGCAGTCCGGTGAATTGTTGCAATAGACGGAGAAAAGATGTGAAAATGAAGTTTCACAGGTTGGTTTTAATCATCTCATTCATTTTTGTGTGAGAATTAATTGTTAATTGGTAATTCGAGGAAATATCTGGATTTTTAGGATACTTAGAGATCCTAACATGAGGAAGTTGTGATTACATGCTATAAGAAGAGAAAACTTTACTCCCAGTACAACAACGGTAATTTGTGAAAAGCATTTCACTCCAGAGGATTATGAAGTTAGTGTTCATGGAAATAAGGTACTAAAAAAGGTGCCAGTTCCATCTGTGTTTGATTTTCCAGCCCATCTCAAGAAAGAACCTAGCCATCGAAGGGTTTTGAAAAGAAAACATGAAGAATCCAACTCAAAAGCAACAGGTATGTTCTTTAAAACATTCCCAGTCTAAGCTTAAGGTTTTAACTTTTCTACTTTTAAAAAAGATATTTACAATGATGAAGTGGGTCTTAGTAACATAATTATTTTTAGAACAAACTTTGGCTATTTGTGAAGTAGTAGAAGAACCTGAAAATGGCGATCATGCTGAGGATGGAAATATATTGGCAGCTGGTCCTTCAAACGTTACACAAAATCTAGGATTTTTAGAATCAAGTGAACCTTCAAACATATGCAATTTAAGGTAATTGTCATTGAACTTTGTGTTTCTCATTTGTTACAACCTCTTTTTGTTTGTAGGGTCAGAAGATCACCAGTATACTTTGGGGATTTCAAAATCTCTGATTTAAATAATGTGCAGCGTCGGAAGAGATTTTGGAAAACTGCTCATGAAACTGTTCATAAGTACAAAAAAAATAACAAGTACATAGTCATGTAGTGAAACTCATTTTTCAGTGCAATAAAATGATCTGAATCAAACGAAGAGTTCAGTCTATTCGTGTTCCTAAGTACGGTGCACTTCAGTTAAGATAATTTTTCTGTAGTGATAATCATATAAGCTCAATAAATTTTGCAATCGAAAGAACAATTACATAACTTGTGTTCTTCGGCACTGGTGACCCCTCTCCTAATGTAGGATTCTGCGGTATCAACGTTGATGATAATTGGTAAGTATTTGGTTTCATCTGGTTTTACAAAGACTGAAATACCGATTTAATGTGGGTACTCATTATGTTTTAACGCTGCTGAGCACTATTGCATTACTCTTAACCAGCTTTATGAAAACAGCTAGTATCTATTTTTTTTTAATAGATGGTTACAGAACGATATTTTTTCATACAACACGTGTTATTAATATAGTATACGTCTGTTTTCGGAATATCGTTCGATCAAAACGACTGCGAGTTCAAAAAACAGTAGAGAAATATCAACCAAGGATACCAGTGGCGCAACTAGCTTGCAGATTTTGGGGAGGCTTGAGCCCTGGGTCTCTATAAGTCGATTTGGTGACAGTATATGATGTTCTTCAAAACTTACTACTTACTTACTACAGTACGTATTTTACAAATGCGTGAATTTGTCGGAAATCCTATGCTATGAACTTTGTTCTTCGATACAATCTACGTTCTTAGTTGAAAAAAAAACAAGGTTATTGTAGTGTCGTGTAAATAATATTATTATTTACGTTCGTTTCCAGTCACATAATGATACACAGATATCTCGGTACGACCTTCTCCCGGCGGGTGTGCTCGACCGACTGACTCGCTGATAAGACGGCAACTCCGTCTCCGTCGTTCACCCAGCGGGGGAATAGATCTTTTATTCATTCAATATACTACATCCCTTCTTTGTTTACATTATTTTACATATATAGTAACAAATCAGTTATAACTACCCTATATTGTTTGAATGCATTTAACAAACTAAAGTACTACCTTACTAACTAACAATGACAACTTAATACCTAGCTGAAAATATATAATCTTATTTAATGGCCTGTGTAAAATGTACAATGTTACGACTTAAGTATGGTGTTCATTATTTTGCTCAAGTGAAGTTTCCTCATCCCCTGCAGTGTTTATTACTTTCCATTGCCCCTCTGTCTTTTTTAAATGGACGACATTACGTCTGTATTGCTGGCCAGTTTCGTCGTTTTCTACTTGGACGTCGCTACCATTTTTCTTTACCACCGTGTGAGGGTTGAGTTGAAATTTGGTACCAACTTATTTTCCCTTACTGTATTTTTTACCTAAACTTTAGCTCCTATTCGGATGTCATCCGCTTTTGCTTTTCTTTTGGCGTCGCTGTATTTCTTGCCCCAAAATTTGTTCATCAAATCATTGTCTCGAGTTTCTTCGTCTACGATAGAACTGTTCAAAGTTGGAATTGCTGGTATTTTGTCTCGGAATTGCCTCCTAAAGAAAAGTTCTGCTGGCGGTTTTCCTGTTGTTGTATGTGGTGTTACGTTATACATCATTAGGTAATCCAACAGGTCCTGCTTCCAGTCTGTTTTCTGTATTCGACTGGTTTTGAGCGTTTTTAAAATGTCTCTATTCTGTCGCTCGACTTGTCCATTCTGCTGGGGCCAGTAGATACCAACGTACACCCTTTACAGGCTCTTGCGAACTTCTCCGCATGTGTCCATTTTAGGCCACCAAACTTTAGTACGTAAACGGTTCTTCATTCCCACTATTCCGGGATGGCCTTCGTGGGCTGCTTGAAGAACTGCAAGTCTTAAATCAGCAGGAATCACTATTCTGGTTCCTCTTAGAAGGATGTTGTCATAGAAACACAACTCTGGTATGAATGCTTGAAAGGGTTTTGTTTTTTCATCGAATTCGTTTGAGTAAATCAAATTGTAAACCTTGCGAATTTCTTCGTCGGTGTTGGATTTTTCTTTGATTTGTGATAATGATAATGCCATGGGTGGTGAATATTCTACAATTTGATGGATATGCTCCCCTCATCAAAAGAATTTTCTTTTGGTGCTAATTTACAAAGCCTGGAGAGGGGATCGGCAATATTGCTTTTACCTGGACGATATATAACTACAAAGTTGTACGACTGTAGCCTCAAAACCCAACGCTCTATTCGGGCACAAGGTTTTGATTTTATACTAAAAATTACTTCGAGCGGTTTATGATCTGTAACCAACTCGAACTTGTCCTTTCCATATAGATATATATGGAAATGTTCAACTGCCCAGACCAATGTAAGGGCTTCTTTCTCTGTTTGACAATATCTTTTTTCACAATCAGACAAGCTTTTATTCCCATAAGCAATTACCCTTGGCCCTTCTGAATCGTACTGTATTAGGACAGCCCCCAGCCCTACAGGACTTGCATCGGCTATAACCTGAGTCCTGTCTTTAGGGTCATAGTATCCTAACGATTTAATTTTACACAAGCATTCTTTCAACAGGTTAAAACTGCATTTTTGTTCATCCTTAAAATACTTGGATATATTTGCATGTTTTGCTAATTTTAGTCGCAATAATTTCCTTAGAGGCTCTGTCATAGACGCTATATTAGCGATTCATTTACCTATATAATTAACAAGTCCTAGAAAACTCTGCAACTCGTCCACAGTTTCCGGGCATCGAAAAGTTTTGATTACCGATATGTATTTATCAACCGGCTTGATGCCTTGTCTTGATAGCTCGTGTCCCAGAAATTTTATGACAGCAATATTGTAAACACATTTATTCTCATTGAGAAGGACATTGTTTTCTTTCAAAATATTGAGTGTAAATTTCAATCTTCTATTATGTTCCAGTGCGTTTTCGCCGTATACGACTGTCGTCTATAAAATTTACAGTTCCTTCGCAGTGAGTCAGAATGCGTTCCATTATTTTTTGGAAAATTTCTGGGGCACACGAAATACCAAACATTAAACGCTTATATCTGAAAAGGCCTTTGCTAGATATAAATGTAGTAATAGGTCTCGATGCTTCGCTAATGTCGATTTGATGGAAAGCATTTTTTACGTCCAGCCTTGAAAAAAGTCTTGCTTTTCTGAAGTTTGGCATCATCTGATCCATTGTTGGTAATGGATGATTTTCTCTTAGTATCGCCATATTGGCTCTTCTCATATCGATACAAAGTCTAACTTCCCCATCTGGTTTTAGAATAGGTACCATAGGTGATACCCATCTGGAAGGGCCATCTACTGGTTCAATATGTCTGAATTTACCATTTCCTCAATTTTTTTAAGCACTCTGGTTTCCAGGGGGATTGGTATCCTGCGATATGGCTGAATCACTGGTTTTATGCTCTGATCAATGGGAATATCGACTACAACATTTTTAAACTTGGGAAAAGCAGATATGGCATTAACCTCTGATTGAGCAGAAATTCCAATCCGTAGGACACCTAAAGACTTCGCTGTATCTTTTCCGAAAAGGTTTCTCGTACCATTTTGTACTACGTAAAAAGTCGTTCGAGTTACAAACTCGCTTACCTTAATCTCAGCATCAAAACACCCAAGAATAGTTAACGGTTCTTTGCTAGCATAAGCCATGAGAATTTTCTTGGGTCGTTTTATTTGATTTGACACCGATACCTGCGAATTCTTTAGGTACGTCCATGTTTCGTCATTTAATATGTTACACTTGCTACCAGAACCGATTATCATCTGAACTGGTATTCCTCCAATCATACATAATATGTCACAATCATTGTCAATGTGGAACACATAGTTTGTGTTGTGATCGTCGTCGTCCTTGTCTGGCTCTCTGTATCTTGATTTCTTGACCGTTGTGCTCTCATAGTGTGTTCTTCTTTTCCCCGGCTTAGTTCTGCACTGCTTGCTGACGTGTCCTTTGTAGCCGCATTTCTTGCAAATTTTCTCTCTTGCTGGACAGTTAAAAGAAATGTGGCCTTTTGAGCCACAACGAAAACATGATTTTATCTCTGAGGCTCTAAATTTTTTTTAGTATTATTGTTTATTTGGTTCACTTCAATGCCTGTTTTCTTTTCAGCAAATTCTTCCATTTGTCTTGATACTGCTTCCAATGCATTTGCTTCAGCAACAATGTTTTCTAATGAGATGGAGTCTCCAATTGTTAATATTTTCTTCCGAAGGTCAGATGAGCTGCATTTTTCAACGATTTGGTCTATAATGTTTTCTTCGGTGTTGCTAAATACGCATTTATATATATATATATATATACATGTCTTTCGTACACCTTGCCCCCAAGCGGCTTGTGCGGACGTGGTTCGCGTAAAAGGATCGGCCATTAAGCTCTGGCGAGTACGAAACTCGCCCAACAGATGGCGCCAACAGAACTATTTGGTACACTGCCCCCTCCCTAAAGTCATTCCGTCCCGGAATGATCTTACTGGCGGTGGATGTCGATATCGGCACGACGGCCCTCTCTTGCAGAAGGTGTTCTTGAAGAAATAACAATCCACACTCTTTCCAGGAGGTAACCGCCTAGGACTGTGACAACATACCAGAAATCGAATGCCTGTATACCGGAAGACTACCTCAAGCATGCTTCGGATGATTCTCCAGTCCAGGTTGTCCAGTCCACATGCCAGCTTAGGTATTGCCAGTTTTCTCAGGTCCTCGGCAAGCAACACTTCTCTAAGATAACATAAAGCGTTCCAGACATCCTCGTAATTCGGTTTCTGATACGAAGCTTTCTTGGTAACCAAACAGAAGATCTTTCGGTTGGTACCCAGTTATCTAGAGTACTTCTCGGACTTCCGGGTTAGATTGTCGCAGCTCGTGCACTCTACCAAATTTACTAAGAAAGACCTTTGCTATACCTCTCGACATTCGCAAGTCTTGAGCCACACAGTGTGCCAGGGCATACTCTGGGGAAGTGGTAAACAGATCTTGCTGTACTTCACATGTTACGCCATACCAACTCTTATGGCGATTATCATGGTGAGCCATAAATTGGTCAAATGTCATGTCCGGTTCTGGTTGGATTTGCCGCACTGCCGCATCTTCGTTGTTTCCATGATAAGGTGCAAGTCGGTTGAAATGTACAATTCGGGCTTTACCGCGTGGTGCCTCCTGACTCCTGTAGAGAACATCGTTGATGGCCTCCAGAACTTTATATGGCCCATCCCAGGATGATTGAAGTTTAGACGACAGCCCGTTTCTCCTCTTTGGATCGTAAACCCAAACCGTATCATCATTGTCATACCTCTGGTCTTTGGCATGAACGTTATAAGCTTCCTTCATCCGCTCGCTGGCACCTTGAATTGAAACACGAACCTGACTATGGATGGCGTCCATTCTTCTACGTAGCTCACTTACGTAGTCTTCTCCGGTAATATCAGTTCCTGGTGGACAGTCAAACTTTAGATCGCATGGGAGACGAATCATCAATAGCAATTCTTTCAAAGAGGCTCCCCACGTTGTATTGGCGCATCGAAGCTTTTGGTTTCCTTTGCGGTCCATTACTTGCCGCGCACACAACGCATTTTTTGCACCAGTCTGTTACGTCCTCCTTGCTATTGACCCAGTAAAATCTTTCCCTCACTTTTCCCAGGGTTTTTGTAACTCCGAGATGACCTCCTGACACACCGGAATGGATTTCTTCTAGCAGCTCCGGGATACGACATCCGGTGATAACGATTTGTCTTCTTTCCTCTTTGCCGTCTTGGTCCACCATTTTACGCAGCAAGAGTCCGTCGTCCATAACGAGAGAATTCCATTATGCCCAATGTGATTTTATGGTAGGGGAATACTAGGCAACTTCTTCCCAGGCTAGTTTCCGTTGTTCCTTCATCCAGTTCAGAATTATTTGGAGATCGGGGTCACCCTCGTGGTATTTAATGAGGTCTTCATTTTGCGAAGTATCGCTACCAATAGTGGATCTTAATACTTGGACGTCTTTCTCCTCTGCCCGCTGGCAATGCTTACAATCCTCTAAACAGGGTCTCCGCGATAAGGCATCTGCATTTCCATGGATTTTTGCCGCTCGATGTTCGACCTCGAAGTCAAACTCTTGCAGCCTCTCTATCCATCTCGCAACGTGACCCTCTGGATTCTTAAACTGGAAAGGCCATTTTAAAGCTGCGTGATCGGTCCGGAGTAAGAATTTTCTGCCATAGAGGTATTTGTAGAAAAGTTCCATTGCCTTTACGACGGCCAGAAACTCCCTCCGGGTAACGCAATAGTTACGCTCTGGTTGGGACAGTGTTTTGCTAAAATACCCAATGACCTTTGCCTTCCCGGACTTGGGATATTACAGCACCTAAGCCCACACATCAGTATCTAACTCAAACTTTCCTTCTGGCAGGGGATAGCTGAGTGTAGGGCGCTTGTTAAAGCTTCTTTCAAGTGGGTAAAAGCTTGTTGGCGATCCTGATCCCATTGGAATTTGCGTTCCCCTTCTGAGAGCCTGGTCAATGGCTTTGCGGTGTTAGCAAATCCTTCCACGTAACGTCGGTAATATGTACACAATCCTAGGAAGCTGCGTAGCTCACGTTTGTTCTTCGGAACTGACCATTGTGTTACAGTCTGGATTTTCCATAATCTGCCATAATCCGGTGCCCACCGTGAATGCCGTCTTCTCCCGATCTTCAGGGGCCAATTGTACTTGCCAGTATCCGCTTTTAGCTCTAGGGTGGAAAACATTTTTGATCCAGCCAGGGTATCCAGAGTGTCATCAATACGCTGTAGAGGGTAGCTGCCCTTATTGGTCACGTTGTTTAACATTCGATAGTCCACACAAAGTATGGTTGGACCATCTTTCTTTTTAACCAAAACTACTGGTGAGGTCCATGGACTGCTGGTCTGTTCAATGATTCCCTCGTTGGCCATACTGTCTACGATCATGTCATCCTCCTCTCTTTTAGCAAGTGGGAGCCTTCTTGCCATCTGCCGGATGGGGCGGGCATTTTCCGTATTGATCTTTCTAGATATTTCAATTTCTTTCTTTGGTCTGGTCTTAGATCTCTGCCTGATGACGATATCAGTTCTTCCAGTTCCTCAGGAATGACCCCTGAGTTTTCCATAGCTGGCATATTTCAAAGGATTGTAGAAATTGGACAGCAGTGTCCTAGCTCCGAGCCCTTCTTCATTGACATTCATTAGTCTCACAGGAATAGTTTTATCGGCGCGCACACACTGTGTCTTCAGGCAATAGAACTCGTACGTGTACATTCCTTTCCCGGTGTAAAATTACCTCCTCTTTGTTGACTCTCAAAATTCCTTGCTTAAAGTTCAACTAGAAGCCGTTTGTGTCCATGATGTCCATTCCGATGATTACCTCGTCCTCAATATCGGCTACTAACGCCGGATGTTCGAATGTAGCTTACTTCACCGTACACGTTTGCTCGATCTCCCGCCGCCGTTCGTAGTCGTCATTGGGATGGTCGAATCTTCGCCGATGCTTTCATCATATCGGGCCTTATGATAGTCTTTGTCGCGCCTGTATCCAACAGTACGGCGTGGAGAGTCCCATCCACAAAAGCATCGACGAAAACACTATTAGACTGATGTTTAAGCGAGGAGACTTGGACGGTATTAACCGATGGGACTTGTTGGCTACAGGTCGACGACAGTCCCTTCACATCGACCTCCCTTAGTTTTCCGGATTGGCCGGATGAGGAGTAGCACCTTCAGGACAGCGTCTCCTAACGTGCCCTGTTTTTCCACATTTCCAACATTCCAACTTGCTGTTCTGGCGACGACGTTCACCAGCAAGTTCCTTAATCCGCTTGACGGACTCTTCAAACTCGTTTTCTCGCTCCATTATCCTTTCCTGAATCGTACCAACCGCGCAATATCGGCCTCGAACTCCTGCAAGGACTCGCCTGACTTCTGGAACCGATTCTTTAGTTGAGTATGGTAGATATGTTCTAAATGTGACTGACCGTATCGCATCTCGAAATGTCCTACTAGCTGTTCGTAGACCTCTTGCTCTTCGGGTGATATTTTTTGAAAAATAGCTGCAGCATCTCCTCGCAGGGCCAAAGTGAGTGCAGTTGCCTTTTCGGTCGATGACCAGCCATTTGCATTCGCGGTTGCCTCAAACTGATGCCGGTAGACATTCCAAGGCGTTGTACCATCAAATTGCGACAGTTTCATTCGCAGATGACAAGCTGACCCTACAGAAGCTCCAACCTCACTTGATTTTTCCAACGGAAGTCCACGCTGTCGTTCGTCGATGGGCAAACTTGCCTTGCACTTCTTGAATCCTGTCCTTCAAAGTTTCTAAAATCCGTTTTTCCAACTCGCAAGATTTTTCCATAATTTTATCTTCCAATTCTTTTTTTAAATTGGCAGTATTTTCCAGAAACTTATCTTCTAATAAGGCTGTACTTTCCAAGAGTTTTACTTCTAGGTTGGCACAATTTTCCACAAGCCTTCCTTATAGGTTGGCACAATTTTCCACGAGCCTATTTTCTAACTTGGCTGAGTTTTCTAAAAGATCGGCACAATTTTCCATGAGCTTTCCTTCTAGGTTGGCACAATTTTCCACGAGCTTGTTTTCTAACTTGTTCGAAAGGTTTTGCAGCATTAAACCAATCTAAAAATGAATATATCCGGGTCCTCACCTTCCTCAATCAGTGCTTGACGAAGCCGGTCTTGAAATTCTGCTTTCTTTCCAGCAGTGTCCCACTGTCTTTCCTCCAGCTCTCTCTTTAAGTCAGCAATTTTCAAATCAACCAATCGCGCCATTCTTCCTTCACTGATCCTCCGATTTATTTTCACTAAATGTGAAATAATCCACACCACACACATGTAGCGTTTTCCTGGGTTCGTGGTTGATATTTCTGCAATGTTTTTTCGTTTTCTCGAGTTTATTTTCCAACATTTTGAACTCGCAGTCATTTTAATCGGACGAGATTTCGAAAGCAGACGTATACTATATTAATCCTTTGAGGAAAAAGTCTAGGGAATTATATTTTTTTGTAAAGAAGCTGGATTACGTGACCTACGTATTTTACAGTCACGCAGTCATCAATAATGCAGCCATTCAGCACATGCTACATACTAACTAGTGTACGACAGTTTGAAACCTAATTGTCTTTAGTTTGCGTGCTAACTTTATAAACAGTTCAGTCCATTTCAGTATGGAATATTCTTTTTTATAAACTGTTAGACTTTAAGACTCATCTGTGGTCGTATAAAAATGTCAGCGCTAAACCAGATGAAACCAAATACGGTCCATTTATTATCAACTTTAATACCGCAGAATGGTACATTAGGAGAGAGGCTACCAGTTGCCGAAGAACAGTGATCTTCCAAGTTGTGTAATTTTTCTTTCGATTGCAAAATATAATGCGCTTATATGATAATCACTACAGAAAAACTATCTTAACTGAAGTGCAGCGTACTTTGGCACAAGTATAGACTGAACTCTTAGTTTGATTCTGATCATTTTATTGCACTGAAAAATAAGTTTCACTACCTGACTATAAAAACTTTTGTTTTGGGGCATCCTCTTATATAATAATTTACACTTCTTAGGGTGGATTTCACAATTTAACAAACCATTATTCTGCACCAATAGGGTACGAGTACCAAACAGTCCATTAAATATACCCAATCAGCCTCAAGATCTCTCCGTCAAATTTTTGGCAGCAAATAGCATCAAAGTATTCAAAACAAAACACTGTAAAATATGAAGTGACAGCTTACCATTGAAATCTTTTCAGTTTATTAAATATTATGAAATTATGTAAAACTGAGCCAAAATTTTTAAAAATGCTTGATGTCTGAGTAAAATCTATTTTTTCAGATTAGCTGAAGGTTTTTCCATGTTTACAGCAACTTTTGTAATCCATATGTAATTATATCACCTACTGTGTGCTTATAGTTTATCCTATATTTGCAAACTTGCACTTCCAAACCCTTACATGAAAAAGCCTTTTCACTCAAATTTTTGTTAGGTGTTGCATTTCAACACATTCATACACTTCTTTCCAGTTCCTCAACGATATTTTAACTCCACTGGTCCGAAACTGTTCAACAGTTTCAACATTCATACATACAATTCCAGTTGCAGTTTTTTGTTTTAATTTCAGTGTATAATCAGTCGCACCATCGGTGATGGTACATTCAACATAACCACGTATTTAGGGGTTCGTGCAGATTTAACGTGTACACGACAGTGTAATATGTATTTCTTCACAAAAAAATCTTGGAGGGAGCACTTTTATACGGAAATTTGTTGTTAAAAAATTCCATTTTTCACACATAACAAAACAAGTGATCACAAAACATAGAATACAGTGACGTTCGAGAAGGAGAACAGACCAAACGAGATCGGAATTGACATTTGAAATTAGTGTCTCATAATGTTAGTGATGGGAGAATACATTTGCGATCAGTGGAATGTATTGGAACGGTTAAAAAATATGAAATGAATCGTTTTTACGTTATCTCGACTGAAAGTCTGGAATATCTGCTCTGTTTCTGTTTATATATTTTTTGTGGTATTGTTGCATAAAGTAGTTGGTTCACGAACTAGTTCCTAGAACTGAACGCAACTTAATGAAACGAACTGGAAAGCACATCACTTTTTCAAGTAATCCAAGAAGGGACAAATTGTCATTTCATCACACTAGTGATGGGAGAATCGAAAGCCTGAGATTCGCTTTGCTTCTGTGGCTCAGAGATATAAATCAAATTCAAGCGGATAACCAATTGAAAATGGTATTTACCATTTTGGACATTTCTCCCATTAATATTATGAAAGTTTTCTTTTTTAAACTTTCCATTCACCGTTGTACACGAAAAAGCATCGATTATTAAGTGATAATAAAAAGAATCATAAATTATATACGGGCTTTTCTAAAATAAACAACTTGCAACAAAACCGCGGTTAAAACCAACGCGTTCAAGCGATTCGAGCAACTGACGTCATCAACCCGTGTGTCATCTTGAACCATATTATAACCGCAGTACATAACACAGAAATTTTGGTTATTCGCTTGGATTTGATTATAGTGGTTTCTTCTGATAAAACTAGCGCAGTTTTTGTGTTTAAAATACTCTACTTTAGTTAATACCTTTGTTCCTAAAGTTGCTCCCATAAAAATATTAAACAACTCTCATGTCGTGTCGCGTATTTCGAAACGATGTCAAGGGCCGGCAGGGGAAAATCTTTCTCTGAGAACTGAAAATCATTAAACGCGCTGTTTTCAGTCTATTTTATTCTATCCCTTGGGGACGTACAGAATGAAGAAAGACTACAGTGCTCAGTGGCTCAGTGCTCGTCTGTAATGATAATATTCAAATACTACTAAACACCTAAATAGCTTTCTGGCTTTCAATTTCGAAGCTACCAGTCCTCGCTTAGAGATGGTAGCACAGTGTAGCTATAATGATCACATATACACACAGTATATTGAACAACAAATTTCGAGATTGCCATGAATTAACAAACGACCAAACCTGCTGCCAAATTTAACAGCTAGAAAATCGACCTATTATTTCTCCCATTCCCATTCGCTGAGGGGGATAACGGATTGTTAAATGTAAACCTATAACATATATCAAAATACATGAAAGTTGTCCTATTTTTTCTGTACAAAAGCATCATGTTGGAATCAAAAAGTGGTCTTGTTTATAATATAGTCGAATTTTCACGATTTTATTCAACATTTTAATAGAAATCACTGATATTCTGAGACCTTTGATAGCTTCCGTCAAATTGCATTTCGATAAGGTATTTTCCTATTGGTCCATAATAATAATGTTGGTGAAATCGGCCCTAAGATATTTATTTTGAAAAATTATCCGAAATAATGTTTCTGAAATTTTATCAAAGTACTATAAAAAAAATTATAAACTATCGTACGTATACCCCTAGTTTCCTGATTGCAAGCTTACATTGTCTCTGACGTGCGTGCGTTTGATCGCAATAAAAGTACACATAATGTGGAAAAGCAATTATTTCTACAAATTTAAAGAAAATAATAGAGAAAAAAAGGACCTTCGTGGATTCGAACCTCCATTCTGCGGTTCCGCAATCTTCAATTACCCATTACGCTACCATGCCTTTTGGTTTACTGGATCCTTATACCACTATATTTGACTCTGACAAATGTCAAGCGAACGTTGGAGACATATCAAATATTTATGTTATAAACAATAAATTACAGTACTATTGAAAACTATACAAGATACAATGCTGAATCTTTAAATAATGTACAGTTGTTCCTCGATAATCCGACACTTTCTAATCCGACGTACTCGGTAATCCGACGCGCCGCCGCGCTGATGAAACCGGCTTGAATTGGCGGCAGCTACCAACAAAGACGTTTATTACTGAAGAGGAAAAAAGTTTCTGGGAGAAAATACGAAAAGAACCAATCTCGCTGATGGCATGTGCGAATGCGTCTGGAACTCATATGTTAAAACTGCTCGTTGTTGGTAAATCAAAAAACCCACGTACGTTAAAAAATGTAAAGGTCGAATCTCTACCAGTAACCTACATGTTTCAAACCCGGACATGGGTCACGAAAGAATTTTTTCGTGATTGGTACATTAACAGCTTTGTCCCACAAGTTAAGCAAGAATTACAGAAGAAGATGTTACCAGTACAAGCACTTCTGTTACTTGACAACGCACCAGGACACCCTGATAAGGATGAATTGAAAGTTAAAACTGCTGACAGTTTACCAAAAAACACGACGGCTTTGATCCAGCCAATGGATCAAAACGTCATTAAGACTCTCAAGGCGCATTACAAAAAGCGGCTTTTAATGGATGTTGTCAGTCAACCTCATGTTGACATTGAAGCAATTTTGAAATGCTTCAATATTAAGGATGCTATTTTGAATGCCGCATTTGCTTAGCAGCAAGTAAAAAGCATGACGCTGGTAAAATCTTGAAAGAATATTTGGCCCAACAACCCACATCTTGCAACATGCAACACCGTATCCAACAGCGATTCTGAACCTATTTTAGAGGCTGCACTTGAAATTTATAATGAAGTGAAACTTGCGCCAGAATCAATCGAAGGACATGGATTATTGAGGACAACCTTGCTGATGATGTGACAGACGCAGAAATAATCCAGGAAGTCACGACAGTACATGATGACGTGGTCGAGGAGGCAGTGCCGGAGAAAAACAGCTGTGATGAAGCGGTATCAGCAGCCAATACTTTGCTTCGTTGGTGCGAGGAGAGAGAATAAAATTTTTCAAACATTGTGATATTAAAAGGGATCCAAGAACAAGCAATGAAGGACTGTCTGCGTAAGAAGAAGCAGAAGACAATCACATACTTTTTCCTAGTGTAAAAAACCGTATTTTGTTTGAAATATTTT